CTAGGATACACTAGTGGTAGATCGACCGCACAGTGGCTTGAAATAGTACCACCCTTATCAGGGGAGAACAGAACAGTGTTTTTATTTGTGTTCAGTCTGCACGTTGTGTCCAAATAGACAGAGTTTAACCCCATGTAAGAGTCATGTCTAGTATCTGTTACACAGAGGAGAGATAGTTTTATTATTGTAAGTGGTGGGTGTGTAGGGCGGGTGATTCCACTTGGAGGATTCAACAGACTTGTTGTGCTTTTGCATCTGTTGACACCACTTGAGCAGTTGGTGTCTAGGATTTGTATGTATGGTTGACTGTGCCTTTTCTGGTGCTCCGAGGGGTTTCAACACCACCATCAGTTGTTTGGCCAAAGCTGCAGCTGACAGGGATGTTATGGATAAAAAATCATCGTGTCTTTGTGGTCCATGTAAACTCCTGTTCTGCGTTGTATTCCTTACCAGTGACTGCCTTCTGGTACAATTCACAACGGATGCAACTGTCGTTATGTTGGATTGGGGACTGTCTCCCAGTAAACTAGTGCCACGCAGCCGACCAAGGTTTTTCCTCACAAAGCACCCCGCCAACATTTTATTATAGGTGGTTTGATGTTGGCTTTTCTCACCAGTAAGCGATAGGGTCGGGTTGTTGTGACGTCTATTATTGTTCTCGTTACTAGTGAGACTTAGCTAAGTGTGCGTAGAACCTTCTTGGTAGAGCTAGTGTTCGTGCTTCTGACAATTCCAGAAGGGATTACGGGATCACCTTGGATCATTACGTACTTTCTGCGTCCGTCTCTACGTGTTGGGTCCCATGGGAGCATTGGTTTGTCTGCTGCATATCTAATGGTCGATATCCTAGGACCTAGGCTGGTGTGGTTAGTAGACTTCAGGCCTCCAGCAGACCTCAGCGAGAGTTCTGTCACGTTTAATGTCAGGTTTCACTTTAGGGCTTTCTATGGACACGTCTAGATCTACAATTTCAGGCGGTCGAGTCAAATCATGCACTTCATAGTCTTCCATCTCCACGTTGGTCAGCGTGTTTTTCCGCGTATTTGACTTGGTGGAGTTTGTGGAAGGAGAAGTCCTAGGCTTGGGTATATTGGGGAGATACCTACGACTTTAGTATGTTGCGGCCTTGGAGCCTTTTGACTATCGGGTCTATGAGCACAGTTGTGTGCCTGCCTCTCCACCACTGTCTCATCAAGAACTATCCTTATTCCTGTGAAGACAGTGTCTTTGCTACGACAGATTCTGCTTTGACGGATGCTTCCGCTTCTATCTGTGACTTAAGTTGAAACCGTATCTGATAGCAATGGTCCTGCTGGCCCGTTTTGGTCGAAAACATTTTGCTTGGACATCATGCATTTTTGCTGTTCTAGGCAAACTTTCTCGTATTGCCTTCAACTTTGTCATGTCAGGGACGTTGCAAACTATTGCGTTCAATTTAAGAGCAGGTCTCTTACTTACTTCAGTGGTGATAAAGTTAACCAGGTGATCTACCTCGGATAGTGTTTTGATGTCAACTTCATCGATAGGTTCACTGCGCGTCAAGAGATTGCCAGTCTGAGCTCTAATTTCATCCAGCTGGGGGTGACACCTCGAACGCCCTTAACGTACTTTCTTGTGGTGCATTATTCTGTTTGTAATCCTTCAGCCTGCGTATTTCTGCCTCTAGTTCCTCCATAGAGGACTTCAGGCTTTCGATTTCTGGAAGAAGTGACAATGACACGCTTAGTGGCTGAAGTCTAGTTAGTCTCACAAAAGATGTGGAGCTTCCATTAAGCTTTACGTCTGCTGCAACATTTAGTGTTGCGGTCTTATTACATGTTGGGCATGCAGAGGTATTTCTATTACTACTAACGTTGGCTGTCTTACCGAATGCAGTTCTCCTTCTCTTAAGCATAACTGGAGTATAAACTGACTCACTTATGCTGTTGCAGGAGGAATCTGCTTCGGGTGTCACCAACACTTGGGTATTATTGATGCACTCTTCCACAGACAGTTGTGTTCGTGCCATTTTACATGCACTAGCCATATCTTGCTGCATGTCTAATATGTGATTAGTCATTTGAGAATTCAATAGCTTTATGATGACGTCAATAACTGAGTTATGATACAGTTACGAAATCACGTTAAAATGTAACAATTTCAAACTTGCTACAATTCTATACGTCATTAGTGGACCCCATATTTGTGCTGATTTCTATTTGGAAACCATTCCAGTTGCTTACTTTACCTGTCCCTAATTGACGGTTATTTGCGTTTAATTAGCTGTGATATACGGGAAATTCTTAGAGCGAATAGTTACCTCGTGATTTTCGAGCTGTGACAATACGGCGTATCAGAAAGTTTGGTGCTTCTTTCTTAGGACGTTTCTTTGGCATTCAAAAGTCAGGACGTTGGGAGATTTCAGCAGCAAGTTGTCCACCACTATGTGCGGTGCTTCGTTAATCACATCATTTTGTCTAGAAGCTAACCCACTGAAAACTTTGGCTGATACAAGACCGATGACTGTTTCAGCTTTGGTTAAATCCCTCAAGCCCATAGCGATTTTACTCGCTCCAGTTGCAAGCAGTCCTATACCAGACAAAGTGAGATAATATCTTCTAACGCGCTTGAACTCTATGATCAAACTGCTGAGAGACACAGATATGAAACGGATTGCGGTGGGCTGCGTCTGATGGTCACATACAATCTCAGAAATTTCAAAAGAGTGTAAACCTTCTTTCCTAGTTTCGACTTCACTGCTGGCCACTGGGGTCCTCGTGGATGGGTAAGTTCTTAGGCCGAACTGTTAACCTGCGAGGTTACTCTAGATTTCAGGAAACAGTAACATCTCCTTCGTGAGATTCCAAAGTCCACCACCTTCTAAATGAGAGTCGTTTCGATATGTAATGCGTGCTTGAAGCGCACTGGAACCGTTTCTTATGGCAAGGCTGTAGAGTTGGGGAAAACTTAAAATATACTGATGTTCTTACTGCCTATCTGATGAGTGGGAAGTTGTGGGATCGTGCTAAAAATTAAGGCAGGAAATAGGTGTATAGAGAGTAAACTGATTTAGTTGTGGCATTTGTTTATGAGCAAATGTTGACACCTCGGGTATGGTTTATATATATATGTAAGAGATGCTTTCAGACTAATCGAATTTTGATAAATTCCAAAACTGAATGTATAAACGAAATCATTTGTCTTTATTTACAGCCTAATGGATGGTGAACAAGACGGTCTAGACGCTTAGTTTGCACTGTTGTTGTGATTTGGTGGTCTTAGTGTGGCCATGTTTTCCAGCAGTCATTTAGTTCATGGGCATCCATCAAAGCCAATTAAAAGATCTCAGCTGGCTGTGTTTTATTGTCGCTGATGCTGAGGTCCATATGCAGTGTCTGCAAATAAACAGCTACTTTTTCCGAACTCATTCACTGGTTTCGCGCAAACCGTCAACTTACAAAAGTGGGACTCATCAGCAACCCCATGTTTGGCGGCAATAGGGGTGGTTGCCTCTACCCCATTACCAGAGATGGAGAAGACTTGTCGATGACCCTGAAAATTTCGAAAAGTGATATGTGTCACCAACATCAAATGCCGATATTGACTGCTAGCTGACTGGATTCCTGACTGTGCCAGGATTTCGCCGAATCTTCAAGGTTTTCCTCGGTTGTAAACCTCTTTACTACAAGTCATGTGGTACAGACACTAATATGCTTTCTTCTCATCCAAATCTTCATCAGGTGAAGACGGTGAGTGGCTTCTGATCACATTTTTAAGAAGGATGAGCATATCAAGCAGTGATTCGGCACCGGTTAAGAACGGGGATATTGGTTTCCATCACTTTTCGGCAGATAAATTTGCTTATAATTGCACCCTAGCAAATTTGAAGGAGCGAAAGTCTGAATCCAAGGTTTGAAGAAGCAGAAGGGAGTTTCACTCACTGGCGGCATAGATGTGCTACATAATGCATCTGTTTAGGGTTTCATGGTATTGGGCGCGAAACTGCAGCAACTTCAGAAAGACGACTGATATCAAACTGTTTTTGAAAATCAACTCAGGAGTAAGCAGGCTGAGTTCCTCATTTACGATGAAAGCAATTCATTGGTTGGGTTACTAAATGTCCTCCATAAGGGTTGGCCACCACTGGGAGTAGACGAAATGAATGCGCGTGAGGACCAGAGCGAGCACGATGCTAAATAAACTCATTTTTTGACGGGCTGAAAACCAGGTGCAACTAAGGTGGTCACTAATCAATAGCCTTTCGTCTTAGTATTGCACTTAATCAATAACGAGGGACATACAAGGAAATAGGGAAGATGGGGTAAGTCTTCTGACCAGATAAGCAACTTCAGATGTCAACATCTATTTGGTAGACTTTGTGAAACATACTATCTACTGAGACATGAGCGAGTGGCACAAAGTAACATAAAATTATCCGACAGCGTACACTCCTCAAGAAGAGTAGCAAACTTGGTGTGAAAAGCCGGGTATCACCGAATTATGGTCCAAAAACCCCCGGTAGCCTTTCCATTATAAGTCTTTCCGGATCCTGAGAAATGATCCGTTCATTCAAGATAAAGGCTAATGGCAAGAGGTCGGAAGACTTCAGATAGCTCCACCGAACTGCTTACTTTGGGCAAAGCACAACACCATAAATGATTTCCTCCTTTTCATCTGTGCCGTACAAGTGGAATCACGGAAGAGGGGAGTTGAACGACCTGCAACTGCTTGCTTTTACTTCCTGTCATTCAGTGTTTTGCCTTTGAACCTGCCGCTAAACTCCAGTTGCCCTGAAAATGGAACAAAAAACACATTCTCGTGAAATAAGTTTTTCTACATGGAAAATGATGTGATATTAACCTTTATGGAGGACCAGATAAGAAATTAAAGAAATCATGCTGATTATGGAGAACTTCAAGGAAGGCATTAATATCATAGGATGACAGGGTTCACATGCGAAAATGGTTGTTCACTTGATTTTACCACAACGTATTTGTAAGCACTTTGTTTAAACTCACTTACTTTGTTTACCTCAAATAGCACAAATTCAACATGTTTCCTCGAGTTTGTTAAGAAACCAAATGGATAATACTCGACTATTCGCTTGCTCGGTATTTTTCACAGTTTTCGGATTTTGTTCTAACTTCATATCATTCGTTTCGCCCTATTGGATCCAATCATTACCGGAGGCCAAAAGCCAATTTCAGAGAATCGGTCTTTGGACAGTTTGCTTTGATGGTTATATGCGACCTGGACTATATGACAAGGCATATTTTGGATGCTACTATATTTATTATGTCATTTATGATCGTGTGAGAGATTGGTTGAACCCAGGTGGGTAGTTTACTTCTCCCTGCAGCTCTTGAAGAGTCCTTTTTTAGTATTCAGTGAAAAGATTATTTAGCTATTAGCCTGTGTTAATGCTCACAGTACTTATCTCCAGCAAAGTTTAGGTTCTTTTTGAGTGTGATCATCGATGGAACTGCTACCACTTGTTCTGGTCAGTGATCAATGACCACTATATGGGTGAACCGGTACTCCACTGGATTATGATGTATTGAAATGAACTTAAAACACTTCTCTTTTTTGTAGTTATGCTATATATAGTAGGCAGAAGCAAAAGCAGACAATTAGGGTATATTCTGTTGCCAAATACGGGAGCGGGATAGAAGACAAGAATCAAGTCCTTAGGATTAGACACTACGTATCAAAAACCATCTATTTCCTAAGCTCACTGTGGTGATGTCGGATGTTGGAGGTTTGGAGTAATGAGTACACCTGAACTGAGAGGCTTCAGACTCAGGCTAGGATTTAATGCTTGGGGATGGTTATAAGCCTACACTAATCCTTTTTCAGTAGATCTTCCTACTTTTTAAGTCTTTTTATTAACAAGTCACTTGATGATTTGGGCACCACCTCTTCTGGAAGCAAGTTTTAGGAGTTGAGTATTCGATGCAAGCGCCAGCATTCTGAGAAGATTGTGTTCACATCCTGCTTTCGCATTTTCTAGCCATGTCCTTCGAGTTGGTCCTACCTAGTGGGAAGAAAAAGAAAAGATAGATCAGGTCCAAAGTCATTCCTTAGAATCCGGTGTGACATGTTTATATTTCTAGAACAATATGTGGCGGGGTAAAGAAAAGAGGTTCAGCTCCTTAATTCAGTAGGTGTAGGTCAAGCCAGTAATCTCAGAGATCATACAAATGGCTACATTCTGAGCTGTTTCCAGAAGGTCTGAGTTATATTTCAGACGAGCTGATTCCACTGGTGTACAATTTTCTGTTTTAGATCTGACAAAAAATGTGTATAAGACGGCGAACATATTACCGCCAATTTTTGTAAACGTCCTGAGTAATGCCAAAAGCATCCTAAAACTCAGAGCTACGACCAAATGACAGTGAGTTACAGTCTTCAAATGACAACTCACTGTGACTCCTTGGTCACTATGGGATAGAAATGAAAATATAAGAGTTTCATCAATATCATAGGTATTGTCATGTTTATGTCTTATGTGCATAACCAAACATTTATGTGCTTTGACAGGTATTACTCACTTCTTTGATCAGGTAAACAGACCGTTTAGGTCTGTCTGGATTTCGTATATATCATCGCTTTCCATAATTTTCCACCAGAGTTTTACATCATCAACGTGGAGAACCATAGAGGATTTTGAAATACTCGGTAGCCCACTTATGTATAGGAGAAATAGCAGTGGACACATAACTGTGTCTTGCGGCACCACACTCTCTATCAACTTCCAAGAGGAGAGTTTAGAATTGGTCCTTATTCTTTACTTCCTATCAACAAGGAACTCCCTGGTCCATGCAAGTAGATTGTCAGTGAATAAGAACCTTTCCAGTTTCAAGAACAACGTGAGATGAGGTACTCTGTGTAACGTTATACTAAAGTCTATGAAAATGACGTCTACAGGTATCCTGACATCTGTAGACTTAACCCAACTTTCTCTGACTGTAAGAAGTTACGTCAAGAAAGAGAAATTTCCGTGAGAACTATGTTGCCAACGAAACAATAGTGTTGCTTTCTAAAAGAGCCCTAATGGCTTCCATGTTCATCCTTCCTAGGATTTCTACCAAAGTACTAGTCAAACTTATCAGTCTGTAATTTGATATGTACTGTCTATAACCTGCCTTGTACACGTAAATATAGCGTCCTTCCAACCACAGGGAAGGATGCCTTCACTGATGGACAGTCTAAATATAGTGACCAATAAGCCAGCTATTTAGAGTGTGAGCTCTCTGAGCAGCACTGCGTGCAGGTCATCCAGTCTTGTTAATTTTCTACACCAAAAGTACTCGACTTCCGAGATATAAAAATGCGATCGATATCCACAGAGTTTATTTTGTTGGATGTCAGTGCTTCTGTTGTTGAATAAGGGTCTACAGAACATTCCTGCGCAAAGACCTTACAGAAATATCTAGCCACAGCCTCTACTTTTACTCTATCGTTTTTGATTCAGCAGTCACTTTTTGTTCCTTTAATTAGGGTGGATATACCACGATACATCTTATTTCTATAGTTTATATAAGAAAATAACCTCTTTGGATGCTGCAGTACAGCCTGGGCAAGACATGTTTTAAAACACTTTCGAGATTGGCGGATGACAGCAGTACATTTACTTCGGGCTTTTTTGTAATAATTAATCTCTGAAACACCCAAGTTGGTGGCAAGACTCCAACACTTTTTCTTGCGTTAAATCGAAATTCGGGTTTCGTGGTTTATCCACGGAACACATTGTTCCCGTCACCTTGGGGCAGTTCACGGAATGAACGATTGAGTCACTCAAGTATATAACTATTTGGGAGAGCACCATGCAGCCTCAGCTGAGGATTCTGGATTGACTGTACAGTCCTCAGAAAAGGCTGCCAAATGCATATTGCATACATTGGGTCTAGCTGGATCATCTGCGTGGGAAAAGATGGCTACTATGAATCTGAAAATGACCACAGCATGATAACTTTTACCAAAGAGTGAAAGCACATATCGCCTGTGTGCGAGAACGCCGAGTCTAGAACTGGTGGAGCATGATGATGATTGTATTTGGTCGCTTCTCTGATGTGCTGTATAAGAGCCAAGGAAATTAATATTTCCACCAATCCATGATCAAACAAGTTAAGTGATGCATCTGTTATTAATCTACCCCAGTCAACTGATGGTGCGTTGGACTCGATATTGGGTCAGCTTATTCAGGGAAGTCTTCCATCTCATATTCAGGGCTTTGATATACTACCCTTAGGTTAAAATTTTGTCCCTTGCATTTTAGTCTTCAGTGCAGCGTTTCACATGTTCCAATTTCGATTGCAACCATTTGCATGTCTCTTACAGTTAAAGTATTCCTAACGTAAGGAATGACGCCGCCACATATGCATGAAAAATAATCACTCCTAAAAAGAACAAATCCTCAGAATTTGGCCAAGCTTCTGAGACAGCAGTGATGTAAGGGATTTCTGTGCTTATTACATTACTAAGCTTATTCCACTTGTTTAGCATACTACGTGCACTTGCGTACAAGACAATGCAACCAGCTAAATGAGTTTTTGTCCTATCCATAGAGGCCTTGGGACCATTTGTTCCCGAAACCTTACTACTCGAAAATCATCCCCTTTTAGATCTTTCTGTCCTTCTGCTAATCTGGATTTTAGTTGTTCTTCTGCCATTCGTTTTTTGATTCAGTCAGCAGGAGGCAAATACCTACGCACAAACACTCCAGTTCCTTGGAGTCCCTCTGTTCATCTGACCATGACTTTAAGTAGCCGAAACTTGTTTTCGATACGGACTGTCTCTTTTTAACGTACTGTTTGTATCTTGAGTAGAGTGATCCCTGGTTTTCCTTCCAATAAAAGCTTGATTGTCAAACTTTATACGCTATAAAGGTCGTGTTCGGAACGGCTACATGGTTCTGGGTGTCCACTTTCCCCCACTTTGTGGAAGACTACACAACCATCAGGGAGCTCTATTTTATCTTTGCTCTGTTACACGATGACAGTTGGTTGTATGACAGTTACTAGCTTTTTGACATATCGTTTAGCCTTAATTACATAACATTTCCCAGAGTCGGGTGTGCAAGGCTAACTAAGACCTAGATATAGAAAGCCTCAGAATGGATTTTCATCCCCTCATGTGCACTTGTCATCATTAATTGGGTTGCCGAACTGGGTGGGACTTGCTGCCCACCATGTTCTTTAGTTGGCAGTCAGAGCGCCTCATCCCCATCTCTTTCATCGAAAGCTAACCTAATCTTATTGTCAGTAGTTTTCATACCAGGTTTGCCAGCTTTGGGATACGAGAACCTGTAGATAATCGTTTTACCCTGCTTTATTCAGCGTCTTCTTAGTCCCCATCAGCAAACCTCGGAAGTAGTCTACGCGCTCAAATTTCAGTTTGTCGTAGGACATTCTTAAGATTCTGCACAGCGATTTGTGTGTCAACAGATGCTGTGTCATTATCGCTATCACACTTATCAACTTTCCTTTTGGATGGCAGCTTCTTCATGGTCGTGATTAGAAGTTTTTTCGCTTCTTCAACTCGCCCGCGAATATCTGAGCAACACGATAGGTAAACTCAGACACTCCCTGCATTACCATATATTTTATATGCTGAGTGCATAAGGCTTGTGTAATTATCATGGGACCAACTCTTAATTTCCGAACACTGCATACCAAAGGCCATTCCAAAGGGACACTCCATACTTCCACAAGCATTTTCCTGACACTCTTGGTTGGTCACCTTGCAGAGACTGGTGAAAAACTTGATAAAACAGAAGACACTCGAGTTAGAAAACGAAAGGCGAAAAGAAACTCAAAATGTATCAGAATAAACTGCTTTGACTGGAAGGAAGCAATCTCCTCAAATCAGGCGATTAACTACAAGAAAGTCACCCTGAAAAGTTTCTGTCTCACTTTAATCGAAGGTTATTTCGATCACAGCAAAAGTGCAATAGGTTTTGACGTGTAAACACAAAAAACGTCAATAATATAACTGAAAGTTAAAAGTCACTCCATTTTCAAAACGGCGTGAGTTATTCACACTCAATCAAGTCTTTATTCAAGTAAGTTTCGGGTTGAATCTAGAAAGAATATCAACTTCGGAACTATAATCATGTTGTTGCTATAGATGTTACTAAATGGTACGCTGATTTTACTGAAAGCTGGATAATTAATTAATAGAAGTCAACAGGAAGTCTTATAAAATATATAAATTTACTCTATTGGTCGGTTTTTGTCTTTGTATATTTTCCGAGCAAATTGATGACTAGTCTTTGTAACACATTAAGGTATCCGGGACACGTCATATTTTGATGCGAACAGGCTTGATGTTTTTATGTATGGATAAAATTGGATAAGAGTTGTACTGTGTCACAAACTAGCAAAACTGAGAAGTGCAAACTTTCGAATTCCGATCCTATGGCTCCACAGTGACACAATAACCACTGGAATTTGATGTATAAAGTCACATACTGATAAAAATCAAACTATCAATGTTGATTGAACTGTCACAGCCTCTTAGGTGATCTTAAGATGTATACGTCTTTTAAAGTCAATGAATACAATCTACCTATTTTACCATATTCTCGATTTCTTAATGAATATGTATCTAAGATATTTTCCAAGGGAACGTATAAATTCCTGAAACAATAACTGCTGGTTCCAACCTAAGTCGTGGTAACCTTCAGTTTTATAGAAGTCATTAATATATGTTGATAACTAGCCATCACGGTTACAATGTAACTGTTTCTTCCAAACTACACTTTGGTTAGGTGTATGACGTAGCTTACTGAGTTTTGCGCGATAACTGAGTTATACTATGATTTAGGATAAGTCGTACTACATCATAGTTTGATAGAAATTGAAACTTGTAGTTTAAACAAGCAAGTACTGTCACACAGACTGGTAGTCATGCCCTGGCTACGGAGTAGAATTATGAACTTTTGCTTTATAGAACCCATGAATATGAAGGAGAAGTTATTCGATACTATTTAATTGACAGTAGTTTTAGCGTTACCAAGCAATAGTAAAGAAAGGACTTGAACGTAGCTAGTTTAGCTCATTGTGTAAACCTAAGATTACTTAGAGGTATATTTGTTGGCATAAATTTAGAATAAACAACATTTTCAAGAGCGAAGGCACCTTCGTTACGTACAATACTAATTTCACTAAACTCCTGTTTAAATATAATTCGGTTTCATAGATCGTTTATTTTCTAAGACGTTTGAATGTCTTGTGATAATTGTGCCTTAGATCTCGCCAATTCAGATCTTGGGTTGTTAGATGTTTCATTAATATTTATTAGAATACATTTATTAGTTTACTTAGTACCCAAGGTGGGTACTAGTGATCACTTATTTATCCTTATGGTTTTGCTCTTTAACTGCCTAACCATTACCAGTATTTCCATAGAAGAAATAAGAATAGTAATACTAAGGCTTAGAGAATGAGAAAACATTAACTTGACCTAACTTCAGTGTGTTCATCTTGGTGACTAACGGTGCACTTGCATAAGAGTCCATCTGCTAACAGAGGTCGAGCAGTTCGACCCTGTACCGAGAAGAGGAATTGGAATTATCAAACAATCACCCAAGTTTAGTTGATTTCTTTCAGTGGCTTAACTTTCAGATAGATGATGGAACTGTTTTTGTACAGATTTTTCCGTGAAATTGGAGCAGTAATTTGCCTGATATACTTTATTTCCCCTTCCTTTTATCCTTATTTAAAGTTTGGTTATACACAATACAAGTGACTGCATCTTGTGGCATTTTGATTCAATTTCTGGTTTTATTCATGGTCCTTTGTCAAGTCTCCGGTGCAGTTTCTAGATCTGACCTCAAAGTACTGAAATTTATCGCTGGTGGTCATTTCTTCACGTGTAAGTAATATTCCCTTCAGTATAGCAGTGATAATAGTGATAATAACTATGATAATAATATTAAGTCCAACCTCAGGAAGGTACATTATGAGAGTGTTTATTATTGTGGTTCATTTTATTGGTTAGGGCTAAGATATAGGCAAAAATCTTCGAATGTAAACAGTGTCTGTCTTTATTCTTTGGAATATTTCATCTTGAGAAAAGTACTGGTTAATGATACTTACTTTTGGCTGTGAATGTGAAGTTCTTTGGACATATTTTATGTGAAAACTGCTGTTTAGCGTGTCATCGATATGTACGCAGAAATTTATTCCTAAATTGCAGTGCATCAAGATGCCAATATATATGCATACATACATGAGTTACATCTCAATTTTTCCCTTGTCACGCCTGATATTTGCGAAGCTATTCAGTCAAAGAACAACAAAATCCATGTAACCTTTGATTAGTTTTGATTGTGTCACATACTGTATTATTTAGAAGAACCATTTGCTACTCCATTAAATGTGCTGCAACGGCATTATGATGAACAGTTGATGTAAGTAAATTCGGTGGATGCTAAATCTAAAACAGTGATTGCTAGACCCCAGTCAAAGTGACATGTGAACCCCTAAAGCCCAGAACAGGATTATTTAGGTTTATCACTTCGGTGATACTATAAATAACTATTATAAACACGATAATAACAATCAATATTTTCTACTGTAATGCTTTCATGGGGAAAATCGCCGAATCAGTGACAAACAAAGTCGACAAGATTCATCTGATAACCTACAAATAGTGAACAATAAAATTTGTGAGGTCACTCCTGCTACAAGTACACAAGCTGAATAACTGGGACCAGTCCGTTCACAGAATTGATAAGATGAACAGAAACAACGAATCAGAATGATAGTCACAAGTGTAGAAGAGGGGTAGAAAGGCGGAAATAAATATGGCACATATACTACAAGAGGGAATGTCAACCAAACAGAAAGAGTTAACGAGCAGTCGGACTGCATTACAAATACGGCTCATTGGGGACACGAAAATGAGCTGATACACAGATAAGGATTATGAATTCAACGGTTTGTGGTTTACGTTAATGCGTACCCATATACTCAGAATTTTCTAAGATTTTAAATCGTATATGTACGGTTCAACCTTTTATATTGCATCCTAGACGATATCCAGTTATTGAGGATACCTTACATACTGTTCTTAGACAGTGCGTACTTCAAACATGCAATGAAAGACATAACTTCTTTTTTTGATAAGAAGTCTTGAAAACATTTTTGTTCACTCTGTTTCTTGCACATCTCCTTTTTAGTAGAAACAACGTGCTTACTTACTAGTAGTCTAAGTAAGTGACAAAAAATTAACTTCCAGTCGAAATGTCATTTATGTGATAGAAGAAAGCAGTTTGACGTATTCCAATTTACTATCACTCGTTTTGTTTTTTTCTTCAATACCACCAGTTATCTGCATCTATATCTGATTCTTAGGGCTAGGAAAAGTAACGATGTCCTAACGTCTCGCATTTCTGTAATATTTTAGTAATTAGCAGAATTAGCGTGTCATGAACATGTACGCAGACATTTAATCGTAAATTGCAAAACATCAAGATGTATATATATATATATATATATATATATATATATATATATGATGTAGCTAGCAGAGTCTGAAATGAAGAAGCGATTATTCAAGTAATTTTGATTCAGAACAAGTCTAACTAGCTTCAGTTCGTGAAAGAATGCAGACTGTTAGAGTACTTTAACCATATTACAGCTACTCTTCTTCCTCTTATACATTGTATGTAACTATTGATGACTGATTAATAATTTTGATAACTTCATCCGCATTGATCTCAAAATGAAGCTGTAAATTCTTGCCACACTTTAAAAATTATGAGGTCAACACAGTTCTACATATCTACAATAATACCAGTGTAACCGTTCGGGAGCAGTTTGCATTCTCACGGAGGAAGTTTGATGACTAATCTTGTTAGGAGTTTTCTGATAGACAAAACGTTTCCTACTCTCAAAACGTAACTGTTAGTGTCAGGGGAAACATTGTAAAATAATCGGTAAACTTCTACATATAAAGCACATCCTTATGATTAAAGGATTAATTATTTCAGCAAGTCTGGTGATCAAATATTTAAACTCGGAGAAATCCTTATTTTGCCATACAAATCTTCTGCATTATGTTTTGAATATTGTTTTCACATAGGCATGACTATTTAATACAACTAAAATTTATGTTATTGCTTTATTGAGTATTTAATTGTCATTTTTATCATGTTCCACTCACCCTATGAAATCTCTGGAATGCATAAAAATGCCTAACTGTTTGAAATTACAAACTTAGTACCAATCGGTATAAGTGAACGACTTCTACAGTTAATAAGGGTTATAGCAAAATATGACACCTGTTGTGCGTAAGGGTATACATACACGATATTAGTATATTATCGAGACTAGAAGTAGTACAATTTTAGCTTCGTGACACCTCCTATCTAATTACAAGACTTCTTCATTAATTAACTATTCATTATACCTGAGTCACTGTGGTACACATAATTCGATATAGCAATAACACATCTGAAGGGAAAACCTCAGCTATTGTCTTTATATTCGATATATGATGCACATACTAGTGCACCATTAACGTCAGAATTGCAAGTCTGTAAACTGTACGTTATATTCTACCGACTGTAATGTATAGCTGAAGATCACATATACCAACCAGCAAAGCTCATCCACTGAATGGGGGTAATATTCAACACTGATCTAAAAAGAAGGCGAATATGATTAATTTCAAACTACTTATTTTGCTTAGCACTATTCACGAAGTTTTTAGGTACAAAGTTTTAACCGCTTTTAAAGTGATAAAGTCTACTTGTCATCTCTGTATACGTGCCTAAGGGAATACAAATCCTACCAGTATGTGAAAGTGTGTATTTTCTGTGTTCGTTATGCTTATATTCTGAGGTGAAAACTGTTACTATAAATCTTTATTGCTGCGATTTGAACATTCAACTAACTCACTATCAACCGTGAATGCCATTCATCCCAAATAACTGTACTTACTCTCCACCTAGGAAGTGTAAGTCCAACCAATACAGTGTGCATGAAGATATGGTATGAAACACAATTCAGTGGGAGACCGCATCGTAAAAGCTAAAAAAAATGGCAAAATATTCATACGGAAAACAGAAAATATGGGCATTTTCACAAAGAACGTTACATCTTATGACAAGCATGATAACGCCAGGGGGTGACTTATAGCCTAATCCGTCATTTGTTGCTTTTCTTCTTGTGAATTTTAATTGAAGATTATCTCTGTGTCTTAATCGTTTCTATCTATTAATTACCTGAAATCCAGTGAATGAATTATTCAACAGTTTCTTTCTCGGAATTAGTTAGATGTAAGGGTAATGTTGACAAGCTTCAAATTAATGTGTTGAACATTACATTTAAAAATTCAGCTTAATAAAACCTTAGAGAAGTCAGGTTTTCCCCGTATTCTTTACTTTTCAGAAGTCTTAATTTTAATCATTGATGTACCTTAGAGTCGAACCTTTTTAAATTCGAGATAACAACTGTATATTCCAACTAATTTCTACATATTTGGGCATTTATTACCCTAGTGCATTTTATGGTATTTTCATTATTCACGTTTATTGTTATAAGGTAGTAGGTGGGAGTTACTCGCTGGAAAGTCTTACACCAGGTTTTTATGCTTGTGCACACTCATCAGCAAGGTATATCTGCAACTATCAGAAAACTGGTGTCCCTTCAGTAATTCAAACCTGCATCGTTGAGTGACGAAGTCAGAAACTTCACATCTAAGCAATTCGAACCACGACTGACGCTGCATGGGACTGAATTATGTACACAAATCGATCATTATTAAGTAATTGACGTAACTGTGTAGTTCTTAATGCTTAGCGCTGATCGAAGTCTAGCGATCGACCATCCTACTTATTAGCTGGTGATGTCATGGTGAGACTGAATAATATTCACTTGAGAAAAGATGTACATACGAAAATATAGCCTAAGGTTGAAGGTTTACTTTTATGATGATTACATTTTGCTATCAGCCGTCGGTTTATAGTGATCTTTAAGAAACAAGTAACCAAGTGGTCAAAAACTCTGAAAGTAGCAACCTAAATCAATTTGAAATGTGTATAGTAATATTTATTTACGTTTATTGACTTCTCTATTATCTTCTTCTTTGTTTCATTTTAGGCTTAACACTAACTGCTGCCTTAGTTGCATTTGCTGTGGCTAGATGTGATAGCCGTTGGATGCCTTATCCTGATTTGAATGTCCTGTCATGGGCATATGCTGTTGGCGTTTTCAGTTTCATCTCGACATTTATCGCTTTTATTATCAGCTTTATAATTTATCTTAATTTAGATGAGATCATCAACAGACAGAAAGAAAATGAAGATCTACTTGAGAATGAAGAAAAAATGGGTATGAATTCCCCACTTCCTACACAAAATGATCCCCGTTACACAGAACCTCATTATTTCACTGATCCACAACCATCGAGCTACATGGGAAGCTCTAAAATGCCAACTAAAAGCTGGAAAGACTCTGAGGTCACATATAACGTAGATGAAGAAATTTCTGATTCTGAGAATCCATCGAATTCACGCTTTAATACTTCTCGTTACATGTATGACCCACGAAGTTAAAATAACTCATAAATAAATTATTTCGACTTGACTTATAAGAATAATTTGTAATTAATTACGTTTGAAGACTGTGAATTAAGTATGTTTATTCTTATTGTATTCTTGATGTGAAAAATATATTAAACACTAAAAGAAACGGGGGATTATGTGTGTTTTAAGCTATTTAAGCATCTAAAATATATAGTTAACTAAGCTACATCAGCCTTCGTTTGGGTAACCGGTCTCAACGCAAGACGGTAGGTAGTGAATGGAGTATAAGAAAAATTTAGATCTCATTAGGATTCAGAATAACAACCTCCAGATGTCTTATCACTTTTGGTGCCCACTATTGAATAAGGTCTTGGGATACACAGTCCTGGGACTACAGTGCCCAAGTTTTACTCTAATATTAAGGTCCTGGGATAGCATGGATTATATTGCAGCCGTTCTTTTCAATTTAAGTCCAATTCCATGTTAAATTTCAGGTAGTTTGGATTATTAACTAATGAATTATTCTGATTTCTGAGACACCAATTCCTAAACTACACCAGTGACTTAAATAATTGGTCTTGCTATCTCAGAACTCGTGAGTGAATATTTCCTTACATCTAATTACGAAGCTATCAATTCAAAAGTAACGCCTTATGGTTATTAATTAATTCAAAGTTGACAACAGTAACATGTTCCATAAATGTTTGATTTATTTGAACATGAAGAAAGAAACCGATTGTCTAACTGAAGTTGCATAAGCTGTGACATTGCTATTAGATTTGTCAACAGATTTTAAGCTTCTAGAATCCTTCACCAAAGAGAGTAGGTCTCTTCCTTTTGAGTAAGTATGCTTACCTCCTCTAAAATTTGAAGTACTTTGGAAGCTCCCCGAAAGACTCCATAAATCCTAACCTATCAAGTGAAGGAATGATCCATACCAAGTTGAGTAAAATGGCCTGAATTCTATTTTTCTTCACCAAAATATATTTTATGTTTTAAAATAGTTTCAAAATGCAAACCAAGATGTTTACATTCTTCAATATCAGCCCATATACCTATTGAACAAATTTTACGTCACAGATATTTGAAATGCGGCTAGGATAAATAATACAAGATGCAACTAAACAATCGAGTACAGGTCTGTGTACTGGGTTAATCAAGTTGGTATTCATCGTGGACTGACATTAGTTGGAGGAACATTGGAAACTTGGGAGCAATGGACAGCTATTTCGTGGAGTCTGATTCGAATTTACTTGAAGTCAATCGCCTAAACAATTTACACCAACTCATTGAGATTGTCTCAATAAATACTTGCCGAAAAATTACTAAAAGATTTAAGCACAGAATAACTACCCCACTCTGAGATGAAAGGTTTTTATCCTTATTCTATTTCTAGTATTGTTTCTTAGGTCACAGCTACGGTGAAGCAGTGTGCGTCAATAACTTCTGATCATACCAACGGCTCCTGAAGCATAGAGATCGGCACCGTTTGACTACAATTTATTCTGTAGAAACACTGTCTTATGGTTGTTTAACTTGATGATCACTTGCCCATAAAATAACTTCTAATGCGAAAGAAAAAGAAGAGATGGAAATTAGCTGTAATAGCTCATACACAGTCAATGCATATACAGGAAATGCCCGAAACCTTTTTCGAAACTGTTAAGGTAGTCTGTAAGTTTTATTCTGAATATTCTTAGACCAAAAAGTCCTAGAAGAGAAGTAGGTTGCTTGTAAATTTTAACACCAGAGAGATTGTAAAATTTGGATTTATTTTCCAGAGAATCTTACGGTCATTGGAACTCCATGCTATCGGCATACCTCAAGTTAAGTGTTATAGAAAATTGTTAAAAGACTTTCGACTTTTAGGTGTACTGTTTCACATTAACACGTCTATTGTGCATATTTTATTAAGTATACATTTTGGAAGAAAAAAAAGACTCTTTGCATTCTGAAAGTTTTTTATTTCGATGAAAAGTTCACAGCATTAGACTGTAGCAGCAAAACGAAAAGCCATTTATTTAGTTTGAGGGTTTACGGAGATTTATTAATTTCGGGGTAGTAATAATTGAGAACTTAAATCAGTCAGAAAACTATTAGGAAATTAGAGCATTGCAGAGCTATTTCATTGTAATACGTGACTGATCAGCAGTATGCACCCAGGATCCCTTCAGGGATGTAAACTAGGACCTCCAGGTTGTATTGCCGATAAAACATTGGGTCGAAGTCCAATGGTAAACATTTCCTTACTTCCATCGATTAGTGGTATGGCTCTACCACCATTCAACGCTGTCAACCGGCATTCACTTCACTTCCGACTTGGTTAACTCCACAGGTCACTGTTTCTCATTAGAATCTTCAGAAATTCATCTCGAAGTAGAATACCATGAATTCGCGATAATTTTTCACCTTCTTTTACTCCCAGTGAATAAAGCTCCTATGCGACATACCTCTCGTTTAAAAAATTAGCAAACGCAAAAGACAGAATTCTAATCCGAACAGAAGAGTACCGGCGTTTCATTAGTATCCCGCCAGTTATGAATGACAAAAACAAGCTATTTTGTAAGACAATAGAAAATTACTCATCAGATAAACAGGTTGATGTGTTTTGGTTCATATTAGTATGTCCTAAAGAACATGGTTAACTCCAAAAGGTTGTCAACAAAATCAAAACAGTAACAAAATAGACAAATGAATAGAAAAATTCTGAGAACAAATGTTTTTCTCTATCTTAATTTCAAGGAGACGAAATGATTGGCGGAGTGAATGGAAGAACATAAACTGTTCTGAAATTTACTGTTTCAGCACCATGTGTTTAATACAGAAATTGTGAGTTGATAGGTATTCTGATGATACTACCTCAAATTGTATCCATCAGTTCAAGTATAAATGCCACACAAATCATATTGGGCTGATATGGAAGAAGACTTTGGGTCGAATTAACTAACATATATCAAAAAGACTATATAAGAGTTAATTTGCTACAAATCTGACAGATACACTTCAGGGTATCTTAATCTCGAGTATATTTATAATAAACAAATTAAATCATGTCACTTTAACTCGATCAGAAGAAGTGATAGTTATTCGAAAAAACCCGTAATCAAACTGTTGTAATGAATAAGAGGTAGCTTTAAGCCTTCAACTTCATGTCTTTTCCTATACCGAGTTAAATGAATGATTCCCATTGTACCACCTCCATAAATTCACTAACTACCTTGAACCTTTGTGACCCTGAACCATTTTAATTGAAACCTTTTGTTTATCTTATCAGTTTGTCACGCACTGATGTAACCTTTCTCACTTCACTTTTCCCACTTTTAGAAAGTATCACAATAAGAATCTGACTATATAAACACTGAATAAGTTTCCTTTCATTCAATAGTTTCTCTTATTCAAGCTTCATAGTCTAAACCACATCTTTTATTGTTTCTAGTCAGTTGACTATCTTCCTATTAATTGTGAAGGTATACTGATCACATTTATTAGTTTATAATTCATATTCTTTTCATCTGGACGCAGTTGAAAAAGTTGACGAAATAGCATGAATTCATGGTATTCTAAAAGTCACTACCATAATTATTTGTTTTGCCACGTTTGATATTGACTTGCCAAATCATTTATAAGACGGTGATCAAATTACTAAAGTTAGACGTGCATAAATCGATATAAAACAAGCAAAATAACTTAAAGAGACTTTCAAATTATAGCTCATAAAACCATGTTGAAAAAATTGTAAAAATAGTATTTACTTTCCAAAACTTAGATTTATAGTAATTACTATTTCGACTATCTGAGATAGCCGGCAAAATCCTCGGTGATTGAAGTGAAATAAAAATATGGTCAGCAGTCGGAGGTCGTAGCTCAGTTGGTAGATCACTAGACAGCAAACCCAGTAGTCTCTGGTCCGAATCCAGCAGCAGTACAAATTTTCATATCGCTTTCAATAGTCACTAAGTATTAATATGGTAATTACGATATTTTATAGACTTCTGTCATTGATAAACTCTTTGTCTGAGTTCAAGAGCTATCGAACAGCTTAGTGGGAGCAAGTTATTTCCCAATTTTTAGGTACCAAAGTATCTCTTAGTATTCTAGCTGGCCACATTTATTTCATTCGTGCTCAATATTCTTTTTTGTCACTCACTTAATACTGCATCAAGCGGATTAACTCACTTCCCCGGACAATTTAGAAAGTTATCTGGACTACTATTCCGTTCAGCAGCAACAGTGGAGAGAAGTATGAACATCTCCCGAAAACTTGAAGTGTTTCAAAAAGAAAGGCAGTTAAAAGGTGCTGAGTACTCATTTACTTTCATGTTTTGTTGCTACACTAATTCGGGGTTTAAAACTCCCAAAATATAACTAAAAATTAGCTTGGAAACAAAGTACAGAATCAGAAAGTAAACAGCTACATAAACATTAGGAACAGTGATGCGCTTATGTATCTTGTCACTCACTCCTTCTTCTGCTAACTATGCAGTACAAGTAAGTCGCCGGCTCAGGATGCTAGATACATGTCTAAGTAACCTCAGTTAGTGCGGGTTCACAATCTTATCAATTTACTTTCTTTACTTGTTTGTACTCTACACTTAACCTCAACACTGCTTACTCTGTAATTACTCTACACCCCAGTAATGCTGCAGTAACAAATATGACCGCAGGTGTATAAGATGTTCATATTTTCTGTTTTCAACAACTATGCCTCATAACCATGTAAAGAAACGGAGTAGATCACTGTGCATCAAATTCGGACTTTAGTTTGCGGTCAGATATCTCCTGGGAGACGAAAGTCACTGGCATACACTAAATGAAGGTTTTTCATCTACCCTCAGATTTTGACAGTAGGAATCCTATTCGGGTTAACATGGCTACTCAAATAAACTGAGCAAATAACTCTGTCAACCGATTCACACCGTAGTCCATGCACTAGAATTCAATAAAGAGCACACCTGAAACACTACCTTTAACCCAGTAGAGGCCAAGTGTACATCAAGAACTTAAGTAGACCTCCATTAATGAAACTCCTACATAAAAGCAAAACTACGCACTGTGGTAAAATGTGTTACGACAGAAATTACCAAGCACCTGCTCCAGAAATATAAAAATCCATACCACTTACACAACAAAGAAGACTTTAGAATTAGAACTATGTAAACCATGTCTCAAAGTT